TCTGATTCTCGACTATAGTCGATCGTTCCTTCCGAATTCCTACAATATAAAAATAAGGAGATATGGTATGATTGCAAATGAGACAACTATCCACCCAATGCAAGTTCAAATGAAGGGATGTAATCAATTACAGGCAACCGTACGGCCTTTAACAATGACAAAAACCCCAAAATAATTTACGAAAAACAAATATTACAGACATGAACCAACGACAACCACTGAACTCCATGATCCTGATTTGGAACATGCACATAAAGAATGTGGCGGGGTTAAATATGTTTGAAGGTGCCACCCTTCCTAACCTAGGACAGTGGTGTAACGGCACAAAACAATAACAAACTACAAAACAATTAACGAAAAACAAACATGAGAAACAACAATATATGACAACCACTAAATTACAGGCTCCTGACTTGGGACAGGCACATATAATTATAAGAATATGGCAGGGTTAAACATGTTTGCTGGCGCCAACCTCCCCCTCCCCTTTTTTTTTAACCTGGGACTTTGGTGTAACAGTACAACATACGAACAAACTATAAAAATCATTTGAAAGGGCTTAACTCATCAGATCGATACAAAGCAACATCTAACAAAAACACAGACCGGATGGGATAGTCTATATTATCAAATGAATCCAGTTAATGGTTTTGGCCTTTAATTTTTTCGTGTAATTTCTAGGGCAACGTTATTCAAAGTGTCAGCAAGGGTTATATCGCATTGCTAAAGCATCCTTTTCAGTTCTACCCTAGTTTCAATCAGAAGGTTTCAGTTCAGATGTCTAGATGCAAATTTCATCTGGTTCTTCATTCTGATGTGAAACAGCTCCTAGAACACTTTGACTTATGAACCTTTGGAATAACTTCCTTGTCAAAATGTGCTCATATTGTTGCTACAGTTAGTTTTTCTTTACCTTGCTGTGGCACCAAATTACATTGTTTTAACAACATAATGGTATACATCCTTTCAAATGAGTTAACAGATTATTTAGTCTGTTTGTAAGATCAGGCTTATATTTTGCCAAGGAATGCACTATAATACCACACAATCTTTTGACGCTCGCATGTATTTCGGGGTTGACATTTCTTTTATGTCCCTAACTTGAGCATTGTCTTCTTTGAATCTTATACGAGTTTTACTCGGACCATGAAATTTGTTTCGTGCAATTCGAATTTCTTTCTATTTTCATTGAATAAAATTGTTTGTACAACCGTAACGCGTTAGCAAATTTTTAGTTTTTTTCTTGTTGTCCAACATGGTATGGGAATTTATATTGCCGTGATTATGAATACTCCCTTTTTTTAGTGCATCTCTGATTTCACGTTGAAATGTTCTTAGTTCAAAAGTAAGACCAAATGGTAACCTTTTCCATGTGTAGCGTACAACAAACTCGTGGTCGTAATTGCAGGTTCGCTTGACTATCTACTAATATCACATACCAATAAAACCGGCACAAACTTAACTAAAGAGTTTTTGCACCAACTAATTTAATGGACCTTTCAATGAGGCCTAAACAAGATTGTGTTCAATAGTTGACTGCGTTTCAATAAAAGTTACAAGTTTATCTTTTGATTTCTCCCTCCTCCCCCAAAAAATAAAATTCAGACCCATTTTTATTATTTTACTGGAACCAAAATTTTTCGTACGGCCAACCTATCTATTTTGTTTCGTATTGCTTTAAAGAAAATATTTAAGAGTTGTTGTCCTTAGACTAACCAAGATTTTCTTTATTAATCATAGAATGAAGTGGTCACTGTTGTAAAGTTATCAGTAAAGTCTCCTGAAAAGTCTATTAACCTAAGAAATGTATGTGTCCATCCGGTACGATTGATAAATTTATCGGTCATACTTTTCATGTGAACTCGCACTTGTAATTTTCAGATCACATACACAAAGTTTTTATTTGCGGCTTATTCCTCATTCCGTGTGCTAATGCTGTTGCAACAGCTTGATATTTGTGTATATATTGTATGTTTGACGGAAACACAACTGGAAGCGCACATACCAGTTCAGTTGAAGAAATTGTAAATCCTAGATGAGATTTTTATGTATTAACCCGATATTCATCACATAGAGAAAGTGAATGTATTTAATTTTTTTACAGTTTGCATTGAAGTGATTGATTTTACACATGAATGGACATTTCTCCTTTTTAAAATCATGTACAATTCCACATCTTTTGTATTCTTTGAGAGAACTTCCATGTCGTTCCTATCGTGATGTTAGCTTTGAAGCGTTCGCATTTAGACTTTTGCACTTGTTGTTTTTGACATCTGATTATGAGAACATTATTATTTGTAAAGTTAAGTTGTCATACTTTTAAGTTTAATGGAATATCAATAAAGTCGACAATTGTGTGTTACCTTGTCCATTTGTATCTTCTTTTAAACTTTGATAATATATCTTGTCATTGACACTAAAAATAATTTTATGGCGATTCATTCTGTGTTTGTCTGGGAATTTGCAAGATACTGTCCGTGCAGAATGCTGTGTTTGTGTGAATTTGATTTCTTATTCGTGTTTTGGATGTGACTTTAGGTTTCAATATAGAAAATAAGAAGATGTGGTATGACTGCCAATGAGACAACTCTCCACTGGAGACCGAATGACGTAAAAGTTATCAACTATAGGTCATCGTAAGGCCTTCAACAATGAGCAAAATCCATACCGCATAACAAGCTATAAGAGGCCTTGAAATGGCAAATGTAAACAATTCAAACGAGAAAAATAACAGCCTGATTTATATACAAAACAATATACGAAATACAAATACATAATATATAGCAACAAACGAAAACCACTGAATTACAAGCTACTGACTTGGGACAGGCACATACAGAATATTTTTCAAGTTTTTCAAATCCTTTCAGAATGAATGTAGGGTAAACTTCTTTGAGACAGAAACACAAAGACACAAATATACAAAAGATATTAGTTTTATATTATATCCAACCTCACTTAACTGAATTTCATCAAATATATTAACAATAGGGCCGGAGAGGGGTTAGTACTTAGTGCAACTTAGTGTTAGATAAGTCTTGACTATTTACTTCCACTTCTCAATAGTATCAGAAACGTTTCCTCTACCAAAATTTAACGGTGATTTCTTTAGTAATGTGTTTGTTAATGTCAAGGAACAGTAAATGGGCTATGTCACAGATTTTGGTAAAACTTCGCATACAGCTTTGGCTCTATGAACTATACCCGAAAGTCGAAAAAAATAATGCATTTATCTCTTTTATTGTCTGGAATATTATTGATTATTATACCTTACATATATTTCAAACAATTCTATTGGGTTAAACGTTATCACGTGACATGGAATAATTCAGTTAATTTTCATTCAATTGCAAGGAAGAACAAATAACCCTAAAAATTTACACCAGCGTTGAATAACCCTATTATTCACCGGCGAATAACCTTTTTAGTTTGTTGATTTGTACTCATGAAAATGACGTCACAGACGTAAATAAACAAAATGGCAACGTTCAAGTTACAGGAAGCCCATTGATCGAGAGAAGAGGAAATAAGGCTTTTGACGTGCATCTTGTGCCGATGATATCTCTAATAACGGTCCTTTTCAGGGCCATCAATATTTTACAAAAAGAATCTACCTTTGTTGTACATACGAGAATTCTAAGACACAAATTACATGTATTTTTGAACGTCAACTTGTGTTTGTTACTAAGGGTAAGTGCTTTTACAATGATTCAAAATGCCTTCCACTGTTAATTCGGTATAATAAAACAATTGTGGCCCCTTAGAAGCGATGAATATCCAAAATTGTCAACCCTTAAAAGTTATTTCACTTCGGGCTGCGCCCTCAGTGAAATAACCTTCTCGTGTTGACAATTTTGGATATTCACCTTTTCAACGGGCCATAATTGTATATTGAATTCTTTCAAAAAATGTGAACATTTGTATAGAAAGCACACACAACTAGCGAAAAATGTTCTTAAATTTTTCTTTAAATCATCAAATCTACAATTTCAAGTACATAGATTTTTCTTTAAAAAATATATATGTTGTTGATACATAAAAAGCTGTTTTAATGATATAAAATACTCATAGGGTCACCGACTTTGATCGACGTTTTACGGCCAACAACGAGACGACGTTACGCTTATTTTAACGTTTAAGTGGTATTTTTTCACCTTGAACACCACTCTGAATGATGGATACCGTTAAAATGAAGTCGGTGATACTATTGAATGTCACAACCGGGAAAAGGACACAATCGGTAAAATTAGACGACTTTTCTGAATTAACTAATCAAGTTCACTGATTTAATTCGTTCAGTTTTATACAAAAGAGTAATAAATAACTGAAGTTAAAACATATCTTTTGAAAGTAAGGTTTTGTTTTGTGATATAAAATATTTTTCTTTTTTGTGACACATTAAAGTAACTCCACTTTGTTTAAGTAACTCCTCATTAATATAAATATTCACAGACTGTGATAATCTACAAATACTCAGTAAGTGCGACATAAATATTTATTAAAAAAGCATAAATTGTTCTAATCTTATACATGCAGTTTATGAACAAGTACTTTCAAACGGATCAATAATCATGTATGTTGATAAACTATATAAAGGTAAGATTATTTATAATAGAAACCTAGTTTTCTTATCTCGTCCAAGGTAAACTTCCTGTTTTGTTATAATTCCTTTCGCTTACAAACGAGTTTGATGCAATAGCATTCATTAAATGTATGGAAAAGTCTTCAGAATGAAATACGCTTTGCTAACCATTTTAATTCTTGTTGAAATTTCTTCCGTTTATTCACAACCTAGGTACTGGAACGATGAGTTCGTACCATGGATCCCCAAGTATGCAAATCGGACATATATGAAATGTCCAAACAAATCATGCACACCAGATCCGCTAAAACATCAATGGACCAGGGAAGACTGTTGCGTATGTAGAGCTAAACCATTATGGGAGGTACCAGTCGATACAACAGTACGTCTTCAGCTGGAGTACACACGCAGAAATGGAATGGCGGTGGTATTTTCTGAAGAACAAAATAAAAGTCAATACTACAGTTTATACCACTCACAAGGATACCTTTCCCAAATACCAATAAACATTTGTGATTTTCCAAATATAGTTCGCATTGATTTGCAATCAAATCAACTGACTGAAGTTGGAAATTTATCATGCCTCTCCATGTTAGATACTCTGGACTTAAGTTATAACAAAATTCACTTTATTGGAAATTATACCTTCCTAAGTCTTACAAATTTACGCGAGCTGAGGGTAACACATAATGGATTAAAGGTTCTAGCTCCTGCAACAATTACTGCAAGTTCACTTCAAATATTTAGGGCGGATTTTTCTCATAATGAAATGAAATCAATTGAATTTAGCAACATGATTTCTGAATCAGATTTCTGTGAGATAACTTTTGCATCAAACGATATTTCAAAAATTGTTAATACAAATAACTTTAAAATAGATCCTGAAAAAGATTACCGTGGTGGAATAGTTGAATTAGTCGGTAACAGCTTTACAACGTTTATTGATTTTGAAAAACTAGGCATAACTGACATTGCTATTCTTGGTAAGGTAATATCTTATGGATTTGTTATGCCGGATGTGAAATGGACCTGCGATTGTCGTATGGAACCTTACCTTGAACTCGCAGAAGATGTCATAAAAAGGATTTGGAGAGATTATTTTAACATATCATGCTGGAATCCTCCAGAATATAGAGGCAAAACTATTCCAGATATAGTGAAGGAAGGTCGTCTTGATATCTTTATATGCAATTTAACCGAAAAATGTCCACGAAATTGTACGTGTTTTTACCAACCTAAAGAAAGGCGAACTGTTGTTGATTGCAGCGATGCAGGTCTAAAAAAAATGCCTTGTGAAGTACCACAGTGGAACAGATTTAGCAATAACTTGACATTGATTTTCAAAAATAATAACATCACTCATTTTGATAATAAGAGTTATCTAAAAGATGCAACCGTGCTTGATATGTCTGGCAATAAGGTGGCAACTTTTTCCCCCGAAGCGATAGAGATGTTACCAGAAGATATAGTTCTTAATTTTGCTGATAATAATTTCAAAAAAGTTCCACGCGCATTTCAGACTCTAAATCCATGCAAATCAAAATTTGGAGATGTAGCAATAGATTGCAATTGTGATACGGAGTGGATAAAACACTGGGCTGACAACAGAGGTTTAAAGCAATGCAGTAATATGAGTTCCTATGTTTGTGAGACAGATCATGGTCTTATCCCAGTTGATGAAATATCAACCGATGATATTTGTAAACAAGAAAAGTTTATGATTACTAGTATCATATCTATTATCTTAAGCCTTCTGTCTACTCTCATTGTGATTATTTTTGGTGTGGTGTACCTGTTCAGGTATGAAGTTTATTTGTTGCAGAGGAAATACTTTCTCCGAAACTCAGCTTCCAAAGTTGGATGTTTTCTAAAATACGATGCATTCGTTTCTTTCAATGATGAAAATGATGAGTTACGTATGTGGGTTTTAAATGTCTTAGTTAGACATCTTGAGGCATCTGGCTATCGACTGTTTGTTCCTTGTCGTGATTTACCGCCAGGGTCTGTCAAGGAAGAAGAAATTTTAGAACAAATCATCAACAGCAGAAAATATTTGATAATACTGAGTGATTATTACTTACACCAAGATACACCCTGGACACAAATTGAATGGAAGTATATTTGGTGTCACTTTAGACAATATGTGGAAAGAAATATAATAGTAATAAACTTCGACCATCTTGGAACATCTGAGCAGGCGGACCCAAAACTGAGAGCATTTGTACGTCTTGGGTATGACATTGATTTTTCTAACCGGAAACATGATTTAATTTTCACAGTGAAACTTCGACTAGGAACTCCACTTAAAAGTTTATTTTTTCATGGAAACAAAAAAACTAAATTCATGGGACACAATCTGATTAACAATAAAGGGTTGTTTGATCCTTTCACTGTTGTCGAAAGCTCTAAAATTAAACTTGAAGTATAAAATAATTTTTGAACAATGTTTAAGTATATTTTTTGTATTTTCTTCATACATATATATATCATGCTAAATATCCAAGATTTATTTAGATATCAATGTTAGTATTATTTGCAGTGTTGTAATTTATTATTATAATAGAAAGTACAGGAAGGCATTATACAGAAGCCACTTCAAGTTTTAAGATACTGGTATGTTATAATAACTTAATTCTCATGAACATAGATTAAATAGCAGATTTAGCTGTACTCTTTTTCAATGATTTCCTCTATCCATGCTAAAGACCGTACGGTAACTTCTATGTCATTTTGGTCTCTAATTTTTATATTATAAATGACCTTCTCTCAATTCTTGTTTTCTCTCTGATAGTTGTCCTAATGGAATCTATCAGTATTAATAACAGAGGGTTAGTCATACCATAAAGCTGGGTGAAACACTGGCAGTTGGCTGCAGTGTCCTATTCAATTGCGGTGATAAAATCAAGTTATACCGACTCATTGGTAGTAAATCCAAATAAAACTTTAATTTATAATCTTCTAGAAATGTAACAATAACATTATTATTACTTATTTTAAAATGTAATACACCAAAAGAACAGAGAGGGACATGCAAAAGGTACAAATACAACATGGCATGATTATAAAGTTATAAGTTATAGTGTAGTGAGAGATACAAAAAATAACAACAGACTCAGTATAATGTGGTTTTCAAGTCGTCTAAACAGTCTATATACATACATGGTCTATTAGAAGAGAAGTTTTCTTGTGTTCAATGTCAATATATTTGGGTAATATGAAATATGTAATGTGCATTGTGTTGATGGCCCATAATGGATGTGAAGAACATAGTTATACGCACTTGTTTTCCGTTCGTCCGTCACGTATTTCTTGAATAATATTCATCCGGTATATGTACGAGACCAAATTTGTTCAACCAAATACTAACAGCTAAGTTCTTTTAAAAAACCAACGAAAAAAATAGTAATTTTTATAATAAAGAAAATATAACTATAAAATTGAAATATACCTACATATAATGGTTAACATGGTATTTTTGTTTTAGAAAGAACAAAAAAGAAATCAGACATTACTTTTTTTAGCATGGAACTACTATATTGATTTATTATAATACTTTATAGAGGGGGGGGGGGGGGGGGGTCAGATTTAGATATTTGTATAGAGATGCATATATGCGAGTATTGGCAGTAAAGGTTATGGTGTGTGTGTGAGGGGAGGGGGGGGGGGGGGTTCAGATCAAAGATCGTTTCTATAATTCTAAATCTTTTAGTTTTTACCATTTCACTCTTTTCTTTATCCTTTGATCTCTATTATATTTGTTCTAAACTTGCGTGAAATATTTGCCACTGGACATAAGGCAACCAAAAAACAATCAACGAATTCTTTATATTTCATCATTTCTTTATTATGTTATCTATAGGTTTGGTCCCGCCGCTTATCTATTTTTTGCACATTATTCTCTCTATGTAAACCCAATTCCTGTCCTGATAAATGGTGACTCATGCATAGCATCATATGTAGTTATTAAAACAAGAATATAGATATAAGAAGATGTGGTATGAGTGCCAATGAGACAACTCTCCATCCAAGTCAAAATTTATAAAAGTAAACCATTACAGGTCAGAGTACGGTCTTCAACATGGATCCTTGGCTCACACCGAACAGTAAGCTATAAAGGGCCCCAAAAATTACTAGTGTAAAACCATTCAAACGGGAAAACCAACGGTCTAATCTATATAAAAAACGAGAAACACTTATGAACCACATCAACAAACGACAACTACTGAACATCAGATTCCTGACTTAGGACAGGTGCAAACAAATGCAGCGGGTTTAAACGTTTTAATGGTACCAAACCTTCACCCTTTTTCTGAAACAATAGTGTAACATCACAACAGAGAAAGACACACTATAAAATATCAACTGAAATAGCTTAACTCAATCAAAGGACATATTAACACCATTGAACATACACTGAACAAATAAATTTGACCTATGATACAATGTAAATACAAAATAAATAAACTAAGGGAAGAATAATAATAGTAACATTTTATATCGGTATGAAAAGTTAAACAATTAAAGAAAAACAATATGCTCGAACAAAAATATCAGCCATTTGCAATAACTTTAAACACAGGTAAATGAAAATAATTTTGTTGTTAGGTATAACATATTCATTTTATAATAATTTACTGTATGCTTGGACTTATAGATAGATGTCATTAGTCCCAGATCATGTAATAAAGTAGGTCTTATAAAAATACAATAGCATTGTAATGATGATTATATATATGTATATATATTTAACAATGCCAATTTTAGGGAAAAAAGGGTAGGGACAAGGCGTTTTTAAAACATATTAATGGGGCGCGTTTTTTTGTTCTTCGGTAGTGAGCCAGAAGAAGTCCATTTCTGTTTTTTTTTGCATTGGGAAGATCTTCTGGCTCTCTTCCACCTATTCTTTTTTGATAGGTTGTTTAGACGGCAGAGGCACATAACAAACATATATAGATTAGACCGGTGGTTTTCCCGTTTGAATGGTTTTACACTAGTAATTTTTTGGGGCCCTTTATAGCTTGCTGTTCGGTGTGAGCCAAGGCTCCGTGTTGAAGACCGTACTGTGACCTATAATGGTTTACTTTTATAAATTTTGACTTGGATGGAGAGTTGTCTCATTGGCACTCATACCACATCTTCTTATATCTATATATGGCGTCGTTTAGTCTAAATGACTAATAAATTTATGAATGCAGATATATTAGAATGTGAGCTGTGTTATAAACGTTTTTATGGTATGACAGCCTTAGTAGGACAAACCTGTAGGACGATAAGCTGGATAAATATAAGAACTACACCGTCGGACAATAACAGTTAAGGGACGATTATTTGATATTCTAGGGAAGGAATTTTGATTGATTGGTGTCAAACGCTACTTTGAACGCTATTGGGCTATTCCGTGGTGGTCAGTTTAAATTTAAAGATGAAGGATGGGGAAGGGAAGAGAGGGTATTATTATTCATTTTAATCTGTCGCTAATGATGCCTATTTTTCAGCTCTTACCAGGCAACCATATTCATATATGAAATCCTTCTGTCCCCCATCCCAACAAATAGATAAATATCAAATTGTTTTCCACTTATTTAACACCATTTTAAATTGATTGATTGTTTGTTGCTAATTTTTTACGCCCAGTGACAAATATTTCATGCTTGTTCAGGAAAACACGAATTTAGAAGTCAGGTATATAATATAAAAACGAAGAGATGAGATGGGATATGATTGCTAATAAGGCAACTATCCACCGGAGTTCAAATATGAAGTGGATGTGAGCAATTATAGACAATCGTAAGGCCTTCAACAATGACAAAAACCTGATACTGTCGTCTATAAAAGGCCCGATATGAAAAGTGTGAACAATTCAAACGAAAAAACTAATGGCCTAATTATACATAACAAAACAATTTACAAAATATCAAATATGAGTCGAGACATGAACCAACGACAACCACTACATTACAGGCTCCTGACCTGGGACAGGCAAATAAAAAATATGGTAGGGTTGATATAAAAACGAAGATGTGGTATGATTGCAAATGAGACAACTCTTCACAAGAGACCATATTACACAGAAATCAACAGCTATAAGTCATCGTACGGCCTTCGACAATAAGCAAAGCCTACACCGCATAGTCAGCTATAAAAGGCCCCGAAATCACAAATGTAAAACAATTCAAACGAGAAAACTAACGGCCGAATTAATGTACAAAAAATGAACGAAACACAAATATGTATAACACAGCAAAAAACGGCAACTACTGAATTACAGGCTCCTGACTTGGGTCAAGCACATACATACAGAATGTGGCAGGGTTAAACATGTTAGCGGGATCCCAATCCTCCCCCTAACCTGGGACAGTGGTGTAACAGTACAACAACATGTTTGTGAGCACTCAACCCATCCCGATGCTGGGACATCGGTGTAACAGTACAATAAAAGAACAATCTGCACTAATCAGTTGCAATTAGTCAAAAGATCGGTACGAGACACACACAAAAAAACTAACATTAAGACAATAGACACAAAGCACCGACATTAGAGTATTTTCAATTACTCAGTGGAAGTTTGCTCAAAGCTAATAACAACTAGTACTGAAATAAATCTTGTTCTCCCAGACCGAAGTATCAATCAGTACACAACGCACGGCAAAGGATTTATTAAAAAAGAAAACAGTCTGAGAAACGTCTGGTTTACGTTGTATATAGATATAAGAAGATGTGGTATGAGTGCCAATGAGACAACTCTCCATCCAAGTCATAATTTGTAAACCATTATAGGTCAAAGTACGGCTTTCAACACGGAGCCTTGGCTCACACCGAACAGCAAGCTATAAAGGGCCCCCCAAAATGACTAGTGTAAAACCATTCAAACGGGAAAACCAACGGTGCCGTCTAATCTATTTAAAAAACGATATACTTGCATATAGTAGTCTGTTGTTATTTATGTATTATTGTCATTTTGTTTATTTTCTTTTGTTTCCTATTCTGACATCGGACTCGGACTTCTCTTAAACTGAGTTTTACTGTGCGTACTGTTGTACGTTTGTTTTTTCTACATTGGCTAGAGGTATAGGGGGAGGGTTGAGATCTCAAAAAACATGTTTAACACAGCCGCATTTTTGCGCCTGTCCCAAGTCACGAGCCTCTGGCTTTTGTTAGTCTTGTATCATTTTTAATTTTAGTTTCTTGTGTATAATTTGGAGTTTAATATGACGTCCATTTTACCATATACAATGAAAGTTTTTGAAAAGTTGTGGTCCGAACGTTTTGACCATCGAAATTTTGCAATAGAAATAATAGTTAGGACCAGAAGATTTTTACAGCCAGTGCAGGACTCGCACAAACGCCAGATTTAGTTTGAGGGGCGATATTCTGACGCTTTTTTAATTCTTGGTCACTTATGTTTAGAAAGAAAGGGGAGAAATCCAAACAATTACCGACCAATCACAAACGTTGTTGCAAATTTGACCTTATGACGTCAAAGAATTTCCCATAATGCAATTATTGCATATAAATAAAAAAACTACTATACCAATTGAATAAAAAATATTGCATTAAAATGACAAGTTATACCAATTGAATAAAAAATATTGCATTTGAATGACAAATTATACCATTTGAATAAAAAATATTGCATTTAAATGAAAAAATATACCATTCAAATAAAAAAATATTGCATTTCAATGAAGAAATATATCAATTAAATAAAAAATATTGCATTTAAATGAAAAATATAAAATTTTTGCAACCAACAACATGCCATATTAAAGGTGTTATTGATATGTTACAATGTGATTTGGCGATACGACAAAACATTATAAATCCATGCAAGAAAATTTTAAGATAAAAACTAATGAAATGACAGCACATACCAAATTAATCATGAATAATTCAATCGATCATAGATATCTTTTTCAATGTTTGTCATCGTGATTATGTCGCTACATGCAGATAACCTGCAGATAAAAATATACGTCTACCTGTCTGGATTACGTTTATCTGATATTAACTATAATTATATGCCCTAGAATAGAGAATAAGAATTAAATTCTTGGAACTGGTATACTTCTGGAGCAACGATGAAGTGCGCTAATACAATGGTATTCTTGTGAAAACGAGATTGTTTATGTAATAAAGGATTTGTTGATATGAAGAAAAATTCTACTGCAAGTTCAAGAGAAGGGTCTATATGACAATTGTTGTCCCATTTAACGATTTGTCGGTGGCGCTCAAATAATAACAAGGCCAAACCAAAAAAAAGGTGAAGAACAATAAAGACAAAAACTATCAAAAATAATGCCAGTAATCCAACATTTATCAAAACAGACGACAGCAATTTAAATTTAAGTATGATTGCCAATCACCAGTATCGTTATGGCTATTGACAAGGCAATTTGTATATCCTTTACTGTAAAATATCGTTCGCCTTTGACTTTATCATGCACATTTTCAAGAATAAAATGACAAAACGATAGTGTTTCCCACATTTTCTGCTTCGGAAAATTTCATAAAATCTTATCACTGCAGAAGAGGTCAAAATACATTTAAACACAGTGTGCAAGAACTTTTTGGATGTTCTCCTAAGTTATAATCAGTAATTATCGAAAATAGTATCAAAATTAAGTTTTTGGAACACGTCGTTCATGTTGTAGCGTATCTTTTCCGATACAGTATACGAACTTAGGCAATTGATCAAAAATAAATTACCCAAGTTATTCAAAAGTTGCCTTTAAGTCGAACAGGAATTGACTGTGACAGCAACCGATTGGGTGATCTGTTCACATTTTTTGTTGAATCATTCAAATAGAGATTCATCCGGCATCATGGGCAAGTGTATATTATTGGTATTCAATTTAAAAGTAAAAAAAAAATTCAGAAAAGTAAAACAGTAAGAAAAAAGTTGAATGTAAAATCAGCAACCACATATAGAATAAAAAAAAACCCATAAAACTCAAACGGACAGTAACAACGGTACTTTTTGTCACTGATTTGTTCAAAAAACATATCTTGCAGTGGGGTGAGAGTTTTTGCTCCATATTGAAGGCCCCACTGTGACTTTCAGATGAAGAACAATAATAAAAACGCTTTTCCTTTGCTTTTTGTGTTTTTTACTGTGCATGTACTGATATTGTGTCATGGATGGATACCACGTGTCCCTTCTTTTCTATTATATATAGACATCTAGACGACAACTACCATTGAACAAGACAATATAAAAAATCCCCTTCACATCCTCGACAGAAAAAATAATCCCTTCAAATCCTCTGCAGAGATTTTTAAAAATCCCCTCGATATCGCCTGCAGAGACCAAAAATCCCCTCTACGTTCCCTGCAGAGAAAAAAATAACATCGACATCCCTGCAGACAAACAGTCTAAATTTCTAAAGTCATAAAAAACCATAATTTTCTACGTTATAAAACTTTCTAGTTATACAGTTTTTGCTGTTCATAGAGGTAATTTAGTGGTGTAAACATGGCAGGTTCTGGGGATTTTTTATAATCACAAAAAAAAAAAAAACAGTCTGAGGACTACTCGAGTATTTATAGTCGTCAAAATAAGATAATTTATTTGTTATCGATTATGACTTACATCTGGGAGACATGTTTTATATCTATCAGCATGGTATCATCATAATCATCTAATCACCTCACGTTTGATAACAAAAGAAGGTTAATAAACCTTGACAGAAATTGTGTCTCACAATTAGAAAAGTTTATGCTGAACAAGCAGATTTTTTTTTGCAAATGCTAATTTTCATGTTAACAAAAAAGAAACGCATCTTTTTCCCTTTGCTGTTTATCATATTTGTTTTTCGTTTATTGTTTTGTAGTTTGTGCTGTTGCATCACTGTCTGCTAACATGTTTAACCCCGCCATTTTCTTTATGTTCCTGTCCCAAGTCAGGAGCTTGTAATTTTAAATGTGGTTATCGTTTGTTGCTTTATTTCATATTTGATGGCAATAATATTTTTGTTTTCTAGCAATAAGCAGTTTACTATCCATATCCGAATACTGAAAAATCCTTGGACAGGAAATACTAAAAAAAAAAAAATAAAAAAACATTGATCAAATTTTTTTTAATCTGCTAATCGAGTCCCTGTGGTTGAAAACCGTACGTTGACCTATAGTTGCTTACTTCTACGTCATTTGGTCTCTGGTCGACCGAAGGGGCAATGATTCAGACAGTGTGTAATAATACAAATAGATATGAGTAAATTATACCATAAACAATACTATAAACCAGATACAGGGGCGGATTCAGGTGGGGGCGTGGCGGGCGTGAGCCCCCCCCTAAAATTTGCAAAGCATGGGTTGTCTTCAGCTTAATAAAGAATATTTCGATAATTTTACCTCAAAAAAATTTAAGTTTGCGCCCCCCCCCCCCCCCCCCCCCTACCTAAAAAATTTTGCTTCATCTAATACTTTTCATGCATGACATTTGTAGATTTAATTTTTTTTAAAGTAAAACTTGTTCGTTTTGAAATATTATATGTGTGCTGTTCTTCGATTTAAAAATACTTTTTTAAAATGTGATTATTTATGTCAAGATTTGTATTCCATACATTTTTGACCTAGATCTAAGATAGTCTGTGACCTTAAATGACGCTAACGGAATTAATCCATTGATCTGGTGTACGTGACCATTTCCTTTTCGGTATTGGATGTTAATTAGGTCAAATATTAAGGGATTTCTTTGTTGATGTGTAGCTAAGAGAGTTTCGGTTGAATTGTGTCAATAATCAACACGCACTCGAAAGTAAGAGGTAAGCATAAATATAACTATTGTTTTGGTTTGTCATTTTTAGTAAACTAGACTGTTTGATCATTTTTGTATCACTTGATTTATATTTATATGATTGTATTGATTTATCACCACACTATCTTTTATCCCTGACATTGACATTGAATTTCATCTTATTCATTGTACTGAAAATACATTTAACGTTACCGTACATGTTTTATACATTTATCAGTGGATCAACCTGGGGCTCAAGCTTCTTGCCCTTCTTGTAATATGGTTATTTTGTTCCCCTGTTTACATGTACATGGTGTATTAAACTAGTATATATTTTTTTTATATCTTAATTGTTCTTATTTTAATTTGTGTAAAAGGAAATTGTGTCGTAATATTTAAAAAAAAAACCTGCAAAATTTACTAATCAATAGGACATAATATTCTATTCAGTTGCCACATTGGTTGGAGTATGAGGAGAGACGTATTAGTTTTATTTACTCATTTTGTGAGGATGAGATGCCCACCCTCCAAAATTCGCTCTGTGTATATAGATATAAGAAGATGTGGTATGAGTGCCGATGAGACAATATATATAGAGCTAACTGTTATTCGGACGTCGCACGAGTTCAAAAAAGTAATAAATGAGGGTTTAGATGGGGTCCTTCATGTCTTCATTCTTTAAATTTTTACACAATTTTTCTCTATTCTTTATATTTCAGCACCCCATTATTCTCTAATCTGCATTTTTTCTGCACTTTTTACCCATTATTCTGGCTTCCAATGTGGGCGTTAGCCCGATTGGGTGTATCTTATTTGTATAATTAATACAAAAGGATAGAATTCTGATCTTTCAGCAATTTGGTGTTATTTTATGGTAAATCATGGTATATGCAGGTTCATGGTTGGTGTAAATACAGTTGTATCCATAGGGAACTATAAGTATTTTACTTGTATTGATCGTTCGTCTTCCCATAACAACAGTAACCTTTATCGACTAAAGTATCAATATTGAGCATTTTTAGTAAAATAAATAATTAATTATGTTCTTAATTGATTCTACCGCCTCTTTTAAGTTACCACAGCAACAAATCAATAGATCACACGAATTTTGAAAACACTACATACTTGTAATGTGGGACGTTGACACCCCAACTAACTAAAAGAGAGGCGAAAGATACCAAAGGGACATCCATCATAAATTTGTACATGTCCAATAAAAGTTCATGTCATCTGTTATGTATTTCACTTGGTCATGGTTTTTAACACTCAACAGTTACAGCTCGTGTCCCCTGTGGGTAGGTCCGGTCCTATGATGCATTGATTATTACATACTGTCAGATATATAATCGGCGCCCAAATAAGATATTAAAAAGTTAAATGATATGAAAATTAATAATAGATTCGATCTTTTCTGACAAAACAGAAACCAACAGTATTGTTAATTTTTTCTTTTTTGGACGATGATGTTCTTTTGGCACCGTCTTACGGTTTTTATTTATCCCAACTCGTTCTCTATGTTCGTGTCTGTAGTGACGTTTTGGATTTCAATGAGCGTAATATATGTTATGTATTACTAGTAAATTATTAAGTCCCAGTCAGGGACTTCGTTACCACAAATTACTTTAAACCTTTACTAAATTCTTCCATAGATGCAAAGATTTGGTTTGCAAGTTTGGCTTTACCTGTAGAAAACTTATTTCAAACGGAATAGCACGTCCTAAATTTTACGGTGATATTGTTTACCGAGCACGGAAATTTAGATACGCTCACTTATTCTAAAAGGTTGCCTATTCAACGCTGTAATTAAATCTTTGGTTATTGTTTTATTGGTTTGAATATTGGTTTTGTTATCAGTAAATTAAAACCATACTAAATACTACACATATGATATATGTACTTTCAGGTACTACAATCTGTCGATACCTATATTTTGGCATTGCACAAGGTCATGTTTTTCTCTGACTGTTAATGACGTCATTACACGAAATCCGTTGGAGGTTGGATGTGTACTGATTGATATTTTAGTCTTAAGATACATGATTTTTTTCATTAGTTGTTATTGGCTTTGAACCAGTTGTCAGTAACTGCGAGTACTCTCAGATCTGTGCTTAGTGTCTTTTTTGTTGTTAGGGATGAGGGATGGATATACTGGTATACTGTGCCACGTCCGGTCTGTGTTTTTGTTTGATTTATTCTTTGTATCGATCTGATGAGTTTAGCTTTTTTTGACTGATTTTTAACCGGATTTTCGAAGTAAAAATCGGTTATTGATTTGGGGATGTACGGCGGGCGGGCGGGCGGCTGCCAAACAGTGTCCGGTCATTAACATGAACTTGAAACGCTTTGACGAAATTTAGATATATTGTTTCCTGTGACTAAATGAAGGTCAAGTTCAATTTTCACGATTTTAGCGTTTCTCGTTGTTGAGTTATAGCCCTTTCCCAAGAATTCATTTTTTGATAAAAAACTTGTTTAACCCCGCCACATTTTTTATGTACCTGTCCCAAGTCAGGAGCCTGTAGTTCAGTGGTTGTCCTTGGTTCATGTCTGACATATTTGTTTTTCGTAAATTATTTTGTTATAAATTAGGCCGTTAGTTTCTTAATTGAATTGTTTCATATTTTTCACGCCGGGGCCTTTTATAGCAGGTTTTTCTCATTTTTAAAGGCTGCCTATAATTGCTTACATCCACTTCATTTGAACTTTGGTGGATAGTTGTCTCATTGGCAATCATACCACATCTCCTTATTTTTATAGTGAAGGTTTACGCAAATAATGTTGACCTCAAATTACAATATTATTTGATACTTGTTAACAGTAACCCCGCCTATAGACATTTTAGTGAAGAGACCCCTAAATTTGACTAGAGTATACAAATATGGTAAATTGGACTTCTCCTGAGACATGATATCCAATTTCGCGACCAGGGGGTTCCCTTTCCGTAATAAAAAAAACACATTGGAAAAGAATATTTTCAATAGCCTGTTGGTGACCTATTGGAAGAAAAAAATTACTGTACCTACCCAACTGCAACATACCCTATTTAAGTGGTAGCCCGATTTTGGCAAAACTTACCTTATTCATGTATTGTTTTTCTCGTCCAGGAAAGGCAAAAAATATTTGTCACAGGACTTTAACTTAGTCAAATTACTGTCAATAAGTCATGTAGTATAGAGGTATTTTCGGGGAGTCACGATTTTTAGGCAATGATCATACATGTTGACTAATGATAAATTATCGAGCAAGTACTAAAATTAAGGTAGCAATTCTACCAAAACGTTGATTATCGACGGTTTTAGCTGATCTCGATTCTGTTCAAGTCATTTTGATTTTTATGTTAGCAAACGTCTTCCAAAAAGTCTTAGTCAAAAGCGTACAGTTTATTTAAGGTTTTCCCAAAAATACGTGTATAGCACACATACATTCACAAAATACTTTTTATTTTTGAAATTTAAAATGACCATATTGTCATAATCTTTGGTTTTTGAAGTTGTTTAATGGTGATAGTCTTTGTATCAGTCTTTCTATTTGATAGTACTTAGAAATGAAGAAAAAAAACGGAATCTTTTGTTACAAATACAACTTTAAATGTTTGTTCATTATTTCCCCCAGTATAGCAACAACACCAGGAAGTATTGGTTATGGGAGTTCCGGAACAACTTTACCGTCGCAATTATAAATTATGCAAATAAGTCGTCACATCGTCAGCTATCTCCTCATCACACTATTTTACCTGCTTTCACTACAGCCGGTAAATAGGATTTGTGTTCCCATTACAATTGTTTTAACTATCGTGTGCAGCATGCAGATTTTCATCTGCTGTTCGATTGTAATATTATTGCACCACAAAGGATTTTGCAATATTGTACAACAGAATTTAATTGATCTGTGTTTGTGTTAAATATTTGCAGTACCGATAACTGGTAATATGATGTGCTCTGTTGATCCGCCAATGAAAATGTTTTTAAAAATTTTTTATTAGAATGTTCTCGCAGGCACCTCGGGCAGATATTTGAATACAAGATCGACAGTATTTTTCGTTCCGGTTGACCAACTTTTGCCGTAATGACTTGGACTTAATATTTTTTTAAATACAAATGTACTTGTCCGGACTTTTTGTTGAAATGGATGCAGATCTGGAACTGGTGCATTATGATATGTTACTTACAGGTCGAGTTTGAGTTTTGTTCCAGTAGACCAACTTTTTACGATTTTGATGCATGCGAGGGAATTTGTATCAAATCGTTTCGTATCGAAAACATTAATTAATCAGTCATACTTTTTTGAACTTGTAACTTAATTACAAAATGCTCTTGCCAATATCAAAGCATCCAGTATTTATTCAAACAAAACATTCAGAGGGAACAAATCGAACAATTGAGCAAAATTCCAGGATAAGGGATGAGGGTTGGTCCTTTTTGAACCAAGCTCATGTGATGTTAAAATCAAAGCGTGTATAAATGTCATGTATTAAATGGCCCTTGTCTTATATTTTTCAGGTAATCATGTTTTCCTTGGAGAGTTTCTCTAATGTTCTCACAATCATTTGTTTTTGTCTGGAAGCATACCATATTGTTGGACATTGTGCTGTCTTGTTTAGAGTGCGTCTGTTACCTCGGAAAGACTTAGTTCGAATTAGGTATTACTTCTTGATAGATCTGATGACAGTTTTTGTATCATCGTTTGTGGTTCTTGGAAGGTTACAGTGGCTAGCTGTAATTCAGATGTGCCAACATATGTATTATTTCCTATTCTGGGAACAGACAGGTCCTGCAAAAAAGGTAATTATATGTATATACGTCTTCTTTTGCTGAATATCCGGCTGAATCAGATTTTTTATGACACATTGTTCTCTTGATATATGTGAAATAACCGTACATTAAACTTAACGTGCTTTTTTGGCTGTTCTTCGTATTCAGACAACTGAAAAGCCTTCAATGATGTCCTTGTAACGCTGCACCTTACAATAAAAACAAAACGACTAAGCGTCGACTTTTTTCTACTTTCTAAAATTCACCAGTAACCGTTATTTAAGCTAATTATATTTTATGTCAAATTTGACATTGGTGTTTCCTTATTGGCTCGCTTTGCTACCATAACCAAATGAAAAGCAAACCGGAGCTAAAGAAGATCTTGTTTGAATCAGAATATTTGTCAAGGCAAAAATGATTGGTTCCTTTAAAATCGGTTATAAATTTATCTAGAATAACTCTGAAAATAACAAATTGTAAGAATTATTCTAATGTACGAAACTTTAAGATGTCATGATATGTATAAAATGCTACCTAAATCCGTGTATGCACATTTCTTTTTCATTTTCTGCTTCGAATTTATATCATCAGATCCTGCATTTATAAAAATAGATAAATGACTGCATTTAAGTCGTACTCGTGTGAATAATTACAGTAACTAATATTTGATCAGAACAGAATATGGCGATTTCGTCAAGACAACTGATATTGGTTGTAAGTACCAATGTATACAAAAACCATTTAGTGCCAATACTGTTGATTTACTACTTGTTATCAAGTAAATGGACAAAATCACTCTTATATTAATGAGTCAAGGTTACATATCTTTTACAGATAATTAGTTGGAGTTCGATAGATTGGACCAAGAGCAAGTTCTATAAAGAATGGCATCTTGACTCCATCTTGGGAACAGCGTTCGATGTTGGCGTCCATGTTCTAATGGCATTCCTACTTGGCCAACGTATGACAACAGTCCAAGTGATAATTGGCCTCGTTATAGTACAGTGTTCATCCTTCACCATCATGAATGGACCATGGCTAGCATGGAGTAACCCTTGGGATACCCCGAAATGGATTGAAAAACGTGTCAAACCTCTCCAGACCTATTATTCTTCATCACAAGATTAATGTTAATTATATTAATAGTTTAAACATTTAGTTTCCTTTTTAGAGAATCATTTACGGTTATGAAATGATATACGAATACGTTATAGCTATGCAAATAATAATGTGCTCATATCAGAACAAACATGTAAACCAAGAACAATTAATTCACCTATTGTTATATAGTATGGTAGGGGTTGGTTGATGTTGTATGTACACAAAACGTTTTGTTTTGTTTTAACTTTATCTATTAACAAAAAAAAATAATATCTCTAAGCAAAAACGTTCACTTGCACGTAACATATTCTATATGAATTTTATTATAGCTAGTTTCTTACCATTTTAGTACATAGTTCTGCTGACCAAAATACCAATATAAGTAATGTCAGAATGTCCATTAATAATTTTCCTATACCATCTGCTCAGAACGAGACTCTTTTCAATCATCTGATAAAGTCGCAGGTGTGTAGTTTTAAATTGTGAAAACGCTGACCAAACATCATGGCGGATGTTTCTATAAAAGTACAAAGTGCAAAAACAAGCAAAATTTATATATGGCCATCTTTGTCAAATAATTTGCTGAATTTAAGGACTTGTTTAACCCTGTCACATTCTTTACTTGCCTGTCCTAAGCCAGGTGTCTGTCATTGAGTTTTATCTTATGGTTTCCGAAAAATAAATGATCGAAAGGACATTCACCTAACTTTTTTTTTACAGTAAAAAGCTTCAAGGGGTTTTCCTTTGAAATTCTTGCTGAGTTATGTTATAAAGGACCAAAGGGTCTAAAGTCTAAATATTAAATAACCTTTGAATGGACTTTTTAAACTAGCATTGTTAAAATAAGTTGTTTGTGGTTCTTAAGAAAATGGGTTTGAAATAACTTCCATGCTAACTTAAAATGCAGTCACATCTTACTCTTCTTGGTGTAGCATTTTAATTGTTGTGAGATTTAAAATAAATTGTTGGTTGTTTACCTTCGTTTGATCTGATCAGAAATCTTATTGGAAGATTTATTTGTATATTTTTTGTCAATCCGGTGATGATGGATACATATTGTTTATTTTTGGCGTTTGTTATGTTTCTTTTTTTTTAATTTTCTTTTATAGTTTATGCTTTATTATTTACAATAGATACGAGACATTTTAAAACAGTTTTTCTTGTTTGTTGTAACTCCTTCAAATGTGACAAAGCGACAGTTGTAATCATACATTCTCCAAATTCCATTAAGCCAAGGTTTTAAAATTTTGATATTTACTGCAATTGTCTTTCCGCTCCTGTTCATGGACTTGATAGCAAAAAAAATTATAGCTTCAAGCTGGCAAGAAAATGTTCAGACACATTTATATCTAACAAACAATGTAAAAACTAAAAAAGTCACTTTTGAAATATGTAAAAAGTAAAAATAATTATGAACTTCGTAAACATGAAGATTTTCGTGATCATTGCATACTTATTGATATTATTAACTGAAAAATGGGGTTTTATTTATGTGAATTATTTATTATAAATATGTATATGTGCATTGTACAAAGGATTCGAACAAGAACTACACTGAAATTTGTGCTATTCTTCAGAATATTTTAACTTTACGCCTTTCTTCAGAATGTTTTAACTTCACGCCTTTCTTCAGAATATTTTAACCTAATGCATTTCTTCAGAATATTTTAACTTTATGACATTCTTTAGAATATTTCGACTTTATGCCATTCTTCAGAATATTTTGACTTTATACCATTCTTAGAATTTTTTGACTTTATGCCATTATTCAGAATATTTTGACTTTATGCCATTCTTCAGATTATTTTAACTTTATGCCTATCTTCAGAATATTTTTTAATTATATGCCTATCTTCAGAATATTTTAACTTTATGCATTTGTTGAGAATGTATTATTCATCCATATATACAAAACAATACTATGTTGATGATAAGTACTACCACTAGATTTTGTCTTACCAATGCTACACATGTGTTTGTATTGTCTACTTGAATACTTTTTAGCAAGTAAGATTTTATAACAATTTTTAAATGAGGAGAAAAAATATGTCATAAGTGTTTGAAAATTCAGGTTTTTTTAGCATTAGCCATTTTGATATTAGTCAGATGTTTTCTGCTGTGGATCACCATTTCTAACACCAAAGTATTATTTATATATTATCTTTATTTATATACAATATTCTTGTGATGCGTATGAAATTATACATATTTATTATAAAAGAAGGTACATATTGATATTATATTCATGTTCTCTGGTTGACTTTTAAGATATTGTTAGACAAGCATCTAGCCACTCGACTTTATAAGTATATATTATATTAAGACTAACACTGTTTATATGAAACAAGGAAACTTGCAGTGAATACTAAATTATAAATTTGTGATATCTTTCAACAGTTAACAATATCCTAAAAATGGACGGGCCAACATGTTATGTGGAATTGTTAAAATAGAGTTTATCAATTACAGTTGACTTGTTATTATAACTCATCTATAGTTCAAATTGGGGACTTTGATCTTTTTTTGCTGATGTATTTAAGTTAAGCTCTAAAATATTGTAATGTTTTCAAAAGTATTGGGTTTTTTTCCCTGTGATACATGTACCAATATCTTTTACAGCAGATTACTGACATTTCAACTTTTTAGTTGTTTAAATAGATTGTTGTGAACTCATACCTTTGAGTAATATTGAGCATGATATAAATTTGATTTTACAGTTACACTGCTAGAGAAAGTTTGCTACTGCTTATCCATGACACGCTTACCTCTAAACTTGACTTAATAATTTTAGAAAGATATATTTTTTGGAAAGCCAATTATAATGTTTCTGAATCATCTTGGTGTCTACTGTCTAGTCGTAGGTGGTAATTTCAATGATATATAAAGACAGGTTAGTAGAGATAATGATGTAGAATAGCACAATCAATGCAATTTATTTGGTAGAAAATGTCACAAATTTTTATTTTTATTAATTACTGTTGTTTTAATATATTTTATTATCATTTGTCAGAAGAGTGTGTGTTCTGTATTAAAATTAAAGTGTTAATTGAATTTCTGTAATTTTAATGGTTATGATTGTTACATTTTCGTTTATTAAAAGAAATTTTGCTGTGTTTATTGTACATCTACTACTTTTGATAAAACGATTTCTGCTACAACGAATAAACCATTTATAACATCTTTAATGCATGCTCACGAATACACTTTAAGCATTTCACGATAGTGTGCCTTCTTGTACTCAGATTTATTATGTTATATAAAATCTGAATCGTCGGTGTTCGAGAGTAGAGTGATTCTTCCTATATCCTCAGATTTAGTACTGTGAGCGCGCTTTCAGTAAATGCAAACAATTTTTAATACAGTCAATATTGCTTTAATTATTCCGTGTGTCTGACACATTCAAGGGCATCAGGCAGTTAGAGCTTTTTCTGTAATTAATTTTTGCAAATTCTTGTACCTTTTTCATTCCATTAAAAGAAAGAAAGGTCAAGTGCTCGAAATCTTAGTTAAAGTCCAAAGTCCATAACATCAGTTGCTGTGCTAAGTTATAATGTTTGACCTTAAGGTATTTTGACCAGGCTCTTGTCAACGACCATTAACGATCACATTAACGGTCATTTAGAGCTTGACATAAGGTGTAGCCACTTGTCTGATGTCATATGTCATGTTCATGGTTGTACATGTAATATTATGTCGTGTTGTTTGTTAAAAGGCTTTTCACCAAATTTGTGTATTAGACATTTCAAAAAAAAACTATGACCGGGACAACTGTTATCTTAAATATTTTCGTAACCTCTGAATGAACTTTAAAGAACTGTGGAAATAAATTAGTGCTCCCGGAATGGAAAATCTTGCCATCGAACGTGAAAAATTCGTTATCGGAATTCAGATCGAAAGAGAAAGAATTCGTTTACTGGAGAAAAAAAAAAACGTCCCAATACTGGCATGTATCAGTCAAAATTGCGACCGTTTGGTCCGAAAAGTGACGACATTCTAACATTGGTATTGTAATTTGATATACAGTAAGTGGTCAGACAAACTGCATGGTCTAATGACATTAAGATAATTCAATTTTGGTTCATATAGCTCCGTGGTTTGGAATCCTTAGCTTTCAAATGTTTTAAAGGTTTGAGTGTACTGATAAACGTGAGGTAAATATAGAGTTTATTTTTTCATTTACAGCTAAAAATATTGTTTACAAGTGAAGCAAGACATGTTTCTTTGCAAGTTTCCACTTCGTACGACGATTCGAAAAGGGCGCTAATTGATATCAACTTGGATAGAGACCTCATGAATATTGTGTTGACTTTATAAATGTTAAAAAAGTTAAAATGAAACTTGAAGATCTTTGATGGCGCGAATTATACAAAATCTCATCAGATGTATTAAAGTCAAAGACCCATTACCAAGTGTTTACTTAAAGCCTCTACCATCAGGTCAAGCGCAATAGGTAAGAATAAATAAAGACATTGCACACTTAATAGTAGAGGCAGCATATGACTACATAATACCGTCAAAAGGTGACAATCAGAAGAGACAATTTAATGTGCATAATGATAACGAGAGAAATGACAATTAACAAAACGATGAAATTTCAAAAGTAAAGCTATAGGACATTAAACGCACGTGATGTCGAAAAAAGGACAAGAAAACAGGAAATCCTGCATCTTATTTAGTTAAACCGCTTTTTGTGTTCAAGGAGAAGTAAACGGAAAGCAAGTACGCTTTGTAAAAGACACTGCAGCTGACATGACATTAATTCGTGAAGATCTTGTGGATAGTAACAACATTTTACATGGACACAACGTTACTCTACAAACTGCTATTGGTTGCTAAGTTGCTGTAGTTGACATAGACACACCGTATTATAGAGGTATTGGTCAAATTGGACTTGTACCGGAATTGGCTGTCAAAGCACTTTTGGGAATGGATATATTAGAGGGAACTAGTAACGCATTTGTTGTATCCAGAGAAGAATGGAAACGGGGAGTGTGTCAAAGAGACAACAACCCGACCAATCAGCAGAAAACAGCTGAAGGCCACCATAGGGTCTACAACACAGCGAGAAAATCCCGCTACCAGAGGCGGGCTTCAGCTGGCCCCTAAACAAAAATGTATACTAGTTCAGCGAAAATGGACGTCCCACTAGACTCCGAAACGTACAAATGAACCAAAATTAAAAAACATACAAGAGTAACAAAGGCCAGATGTTCCTGACTTGGGACAGGCGCAAACATACGGCGCGGTTAAACATGTTTTCTCAACCCTCCCCCTATACCTCTAGCCAATGTAGAATAAACAAGCAAACAGCAATACACACTGTAAAACTCGGTTTAAAAGAAGTCCGAGTCCGATGTTAGAATAGGTAACATAAGAAACTAAGCAAAATGACTGATCAACATAAATTAACAAAGGACTACTAGCAGTTACTGACATGCCAGCTCCAGACCTCAATTAAACTGATTGAAAGGTTATGTCTTCATCATATGAAAATCAAGCACAATCCCTCCCTTTAGGGGTTTAGTATCATACCATCATAAAATATACGAGAAGAGCATTACCGGTATCATGCCAACAACTGGTTTTAGAATAAATGTGTATATTTCTGATGCAAAGACCCTATGAGTGAATCAATATTAATTCCAGAAATGCCATCTTTAATTACCTGACAACAGTATCGTAATTATATCCCTTCTGAATAAGTCTGTTTAAAAGTTTGGTTAGCTTTTTTTGTGCTTTGTATAGAATATTACCATAAAAGATGGGATGTGAAATACCTGAACGTATTACATGTCTGCACGTTAATTTATATTTACGAATGATGTCCTTGTACCGATGATAAAATTTAGTAAATGTTTTGACAAGTTTGTGATATCGAAAACCCTGGTGTAATAATTTTTCAGTAATACAGAGATTTCTTTCGTTAAAATCAAATACGTTATTACATACACGAGCGAATCGAACAAGTTGAGATATAAAAACACCATAAGAGGTGACAAGGGAACGTCACCATCTAAAAATGGAAAAATAAACAGTAGGAAATGAAAAATCATCTCTTTTATCGTAAATTTTGGTATAAAGCTTCCCGTTAAAGATATAGATATTAAGACCCAGGAAAGGGCAGTATTCATTGTTGGTAATATGAGGCAGGCATTACCTGTGAAAGGGGACGAAGTCTATATAAATTATTTATTTTTAATTCAAACATATTTTAAGTTCTAAATCTGTTAAAAAAGAAACGGAAATACCGTAACGTTTCCGATTTTGGTTCTGTTGTAAGGGATTTTATATGTGACGTTATTTTAATTATGACGTCATGTTCAATGTAAACAAAGAAACGCTATCATCAGGTAACGTTTTTTCATATCAAAGAATAATTAGAAATGAAATTGTTATTGTGTTCCTTCCTATATTTTACTGGACTGATAAATATATATTTCACTCAAAGTCTCATGACAAACGAGACCGGAAGAAGGAAGTAGATTTCTGCGCAAATGCGGGAATTAAAAAAAGTTACAAAAAAAAAGTTAACGATTTTGAGTTCATTAGTACAATGAAAATTTCGGGAAATTTTCCCGATTTTTTTTTTTTTTTTTTTTTTATTGATTTTTCTACTGTAATAGGGGACTTCGTCCCCTTATTAGCTTTATTTAAAGTCGGTTCAGCAGGATAAATTTCTTTATTATATACTTAGTAGTAAATACAGATAAATTGTATGTGTAATACAATCATTGCCAAGCGTGCTGTATCAGCCACCCGTGATGATATCGATATCAGCACGGTTGCAAAGGCTTTATCACAGCTTTAATATGTATGACGTCACGTCATCGATTGCAGTCACTGTTGCAAAAGCTTTATCAAACCCCTAATCTGTATGACGTCATGTCAAACCTATAATCTGTATGACGTCATTTCAAACCTCCTTACCTGTATGACGTCAGGTCACATAAAAAACATCTACGTGAGGTATATGTATATAATAAAGTGTATATGATATGGCTTTTTCAATATCACACACCGTATCAACCCTCAACCAATATAATCCCTCGAGTAGAGCTCTTGGGATTATATTGGTGTCTCGGGTTGATACGGATGTGATATTGAAAAAGCCATATGATATTCTCTATTTAGTGTACATACTGAAGTCGTCATTATTGAGAGCTAATATATCATCCAAATATCTTAAAGTGTCATTAAATTTTTGTATCAGATGTTGTTTCGATGGGTCTTTGCTGATTTTAGTCATGAATTGTAACTCGTAACAATACAGAAACAGGTCTGCAATAAGTAGTGCACAGTTAGTCCCCATTGTAATTACGATAACTTGATGATATACGGAATCCCTATAGCGAACAAAAATGGTATCTAGTAAAAATTCAAGTGCAGTTATCGCATCAAAGCAGGTCCAGTTAACATAGTTCTTTAAAAAATGACCTAAAAGAGTTTGAACATATAAATTCGCATTCTGACTTTTTAAATGCCCATTTAATTAGGTATATGATTTTTTTCTTAATGAAATAATGAGGCAAAGTGGTAAATAGGGTAGAAAAACCAAAACTTTGAACAGAATAGAAATCACCAATATGAGCATGTAATTTATCAAGTACTTCCAACGAATTTTTGACACTCCAAAAGTAACTAATTCCACTATTTTCAAAGGCCTTATTTGAACAATTCATTACCAGTTTTTTATTGTACCAAGTGTACTAGTAAGTTGAATAGACAGTTAAGTAGTGGAACAATGGCTTGAAGACGAAATAAATCTATATTTGTAAGGTGTTTTGTGCAGCTTCGGAAGCCAGTACATAGTTGGAACTTTTTGAACATGCCGTTGACCTGAAGAAAGTAAGCAAAGATGATGAGATTACTAATAGTAACATTTCGTCTGCAATATTGAATTATAACAAAAATTCAACAAGACGATCAAAATATAAATTTCCGATCACAATCAAGTCGCCTCGTACATGTCATATTCCACGTGCTATTCGTGTCGATGTGAAACTTGCAATAGAAGAAATGCTAAAGCAGGGCGTTATCAAATCTTCATTAGTACGAGGAGTGCACCGATAGTTCCCAAAAGTAAACATGTTGGAACGCCAAGGATATGTGTAGA